GGACTTAAGCTGAGACGATCTGAAACTAAAAAATGCAGTGCTTAAGGCTTATACCTATCAATGTCTTCTCTCTAAGCTGATAATCGAATGCCAACGTGTGCTTTACAGGATTCTTGTCATTCTTTGGATCTAAGTGCATTTCTTTCATAGGATTTGTTTTGTAGAATGAAATTAATTGAACAAGTGGAGCAATAATATGAATTATGTTTATTCTCTAAGAGTGGATTATCTTGCCTGCAGATAATGACCAATGGGAAGTACAGGAGTGCTCAACATAGGGCTCTAACCAATTCCAATCAGGCACGGCTCTCAGTTGCTACATTTCATGATCCAGCCAAGACAGTGAAAGTATCCCCTGCTTCTGAGCTTACCAGTGCGTCGACTCCTCCCCTCTACCGGGAAGTTGTTTATGGAGATTATGTGTCATCGTGGTACACAAAGGGCCCAGAAGGAAAACGGAATATCGATGCCCTCCTGCTTGAACCTTGATCGTTTGTTGGAAAACCCTCATTTCCCCAACTTGCCAACACCTTGCATTCTAGAATGGAAGCAGAGCAACTGTCATCAGTATTTTAGCTGGGGACTTTGGTTTGGGAGGATTGCATAGTCTTTCTTAATCCATACCACACCTTTAACAATACATAATTCTGTTCAACATGTACATGAATTGGTTAGTTGATTGCAAATGTGAATTCAAGTATAATTGGGGGTGTTTTTGTGCACCATCTTGCTTTAGCTGCAAGGGTTGTTTTTAGCTTTCCTCATGGACTGATTTGGAATTTAAACAGAAAGATAGACGGCAAATTCAAATTGTTTCCATGGAAATAGTTCTAAATAGATATTGTGAATTATGTTTGGATTGCCATTAGAATAAAAAATTGAAAACCTCAAAATGATTATGGAAGCAAAGAATTACGACCATAATTTAATCAACCCATGATACGACTAAACTGTCCCAAACCAAATAATTTAACAAAATATTTGAAACAATTTGACAGAAGTAAAGAAAATAATCTATGAGAATAAATTCCAAATCATCAAAGAACAGAATTATGAGAATAAATTTAAAAAAATCTAAGAACGAAGGCTGAAAAAGAATAAAAAAACATCTTCAATTTAGAAATAATAACCATTAGCATTTGAGTTATAAATTTATTTATGGCCCCCCATTTTGCCGTCCGAGAACCAAAACAAAAAGAACCCCACCATTTGAAATGAATATTATTTTCTTTTGAACACGGTCCCAAAAACATCTGACTCCCCCACCTCTTCCTTGTTCTCTTCCTATTATCCCTATGTGTCTTTGACAGAGAGAGCAAGCCTCCATTGGAGCCTTTTAAAGCTCTGATTCGTCAAAACAAACACTCAAATCCAATTCAATCCAATCACCACCAAAAACCCAGATGAAGCGGTACAGGAATGGCGAAGTCTGGGACTTTGAGAACCAAATGCCGGTGGTCGCCGGCGCCGGAGACGTCATCTTGGGTTTAGACGGCGGCACCACCTCCACCGTCTGCATTTGCATGCCGATTTTGCCCTTCTCCGATCCTCTCCCCGACCCAGTTCCTGTTCTTGCTCGAGCAGTCGCCGGTTGCACCAACCACAACAGCGTTGGCGGTAATTGTTCTTCTGTTCATGGTTTATCAGTTGATCGCAACTGTTTTGATTTTTGTATCTGATCTAATTGAATAACTTGTTGTTAAACCTTAGAGGCTGCTGCAAGGGAAACATTGGAGCAGGTGATGGCTGAAGCGCTGGCCAAGTCCGGTTCGAACCGGTCGGCCGTTCGAGCTGTTTGTTTGGCGGTTTCTGGTGTCAACCATCCCTCAGATCAGCAGAGGATATTAGATTGGCTTAGGTATTACTTTCAAGTCTCTATGATTGCACATTGTTCCCGTATGTGTTTTTTTAAAATATTTATTTTACTTTTGAAGTTATTTACTTGTTGGGTGCTTATTTTTTATTGCTTTCATCAGGCCCTTGTGGGTTTTGGCACATATCAATCTCTGATTAATGTTTAGTACTACAAGCTTTAATCTTGTCTTGATGTGAACAGGGATGTATTCCCCAGCAATGCAAGGTTGTATGTTCAGAATGATGCTGTGGCAGCTCTAGCTTGTGGGACTTTGGGAAAACTTCATGGGTGTGTTCTAATTGCTGGCACGGGGACCATTGCATATGGGTTCACGGAAGACGGTAGAGAAGCTCGGGCAGCCGGCGCAGGACCTACCTTAGGTGATTGGGGAAGGTATAGCCTTGTTGCTCGGTTCTTGAATTTCCTATTTCTAGCTCTGTCCCCGAGATGCTCCTACTTTAATAAAGGTGGTTCCTTGTTGTCATTGGAGGTTTCCTACATCTTTTGTATCTAGGTCACCTTAACCATCAAGTACATGAAATGATATAGGGGTTGTAAGAAGAAACAGTCACTGGGAAAAAGACTTCCACCTTTACTCACTTCTTGATTATATGTTTTGAATTAATCTTACTGTTGAAATCCCGTAAAATTCTTTCTATTTTCATTGTTGATTTTCCCTTTCCTGCTCATCATTTTGCATTAAACTTTATATATTGACGATTTGAACTCCCCAGCAGTATGATTGTGATCCATCTATGTTCCACAGTTGCTCCCTGCCTGATAATGTTGTGCTTTAATTGTAAGATTTCATGGCCATGTATAAATCAATCAGTGTGTCAAATAAACTTAATATCACTTTTTGAGTAGTATTCTGGTAGTTTCTGGAATTCAGGATGTGGGCTTCTTTTTTATGATATCTGTCTTTTTCCTTTCCCAGAAATTTTTACTGAAGGTAATGTTTTTTTTACTTGCAGTGGATACGGTATAGCTGCACAGGCATTAACCGCTGTAATAAGGGCCCATGATGGTCGTGGTCCACATACAATGCTTATGTCTAGTATGTTAGGGAAGCTTGGTCTTTCTTCTCCAGATGAACTCATCGGGTATCTATCTGAAACTTATAATTGTCATCATCACATATATTGGTGAAGTTACTAGTTGTCATTTTGGGATCTTACAGTCTGCAGCCAATCTTTAAGGCAGTTTTGGCGAAAATAAATGACAAGGTTTGTTCCATCAATCTGTAAATTCGTTTGTCTGCAATCCCTCAAATGGTGTTGGTTAGGTGATGCAAATATGTGGGAAGTTCCACTTATTGTAGTAGCTAAATTCTAGTATAGATGTGTATGATCTAAGTTCTCTGGTTCTATTGGCATGCAAACATTTTATATCTTGAGATTATTCTTCTTAGATTACGTGGTTTTATCTGCACCTCTACGTGAGAGGAGTCAAAAGTCGGTCGCATCTCACATAGGGGTGTGGAAATAACCCCATTGATCTTGAAATGGCAATTATATGTGTCTTTTCCATTGAATTTGTCATGCATTCTCGATTGGAATATGTTTCATTTAAAGGGTATGTGGTATTTTGTATGTCTTTGCGAACCTTCTTCAGGAAAATGAATTGAGAACCTTGATAGAAATGAGTATCCGGGATGTAATTGTATGGGGTATCAGATAACCACTATAATTTTCTATTGGATTTCAGGTGGACCTATGCAGATCCATCTTGGGCTCGCATTGCAGCACTTGTTCCAGTTGTTGTATGTTGTGCAATTGCTGGTGATAAGGTTGCAAATAAGATCTTGTTTGATTCAGTCGAGGAGTTGAGGTTGAGTGTGAAAGCTGTTGTTCAAAGACTTGGCTTGTGTGGTCCAGGTGTGACATACTGAACAAAAAACTGAAAAAAATTAAAGGAATTCTGTTTTGGATTTGTGTGATGTATAATAGGTCATGAGGTTATGCATGACTTCATAAAATATTAATCATTTAGTGGTAGGGTAGTGATACTATTTAAATATGCGTTTGCAAAAAAGGAAATGCTTAATAAACTGCATACAGGGAGCAGAAAAGTTATTGCCATTCCTCACTGGCTTATTTTATTTTCAAGTGTTTTGCCTTTGTGCTATACCCATTCCTTCTACTTATGGCGTTGTATTATTGCTATGCTCATGATGGATATTCTATATGTGTATCAGATTCGAGTTTATATACTGCCTTGCAATAATTGAAAGGTAGGGAGGCCCTACACTGCATACTAATTTCATTTTTTGTTTAAAATAATTGCAGAGGGAAAAGATTCTTTTCCCCTTGTCATGGTTGGTGGTGTTCTTGATGAAAATAAGAGGTGGGATATAGGAGAGGAAGTCATTAAATGCATCTCCAAGGACTACCCGGGGGCAGTTCCTATTAGGCCGAAGGTAAGCATATTTTATGCCTCACTTCAATAAACTTTTGATATTTGAAGCAAATGAGATTTAAAGGGTGAGCCTGCTACTTTCCGTAGATGGCTTCTTGAGTACAGTTACTATTGGCGGGCTTCCCTATCTTGGATAAAAAGGAAAAGTGTCTTCGTGTCAAACGATAATTAGAGAGTAGATGAAAAGTGGACAACACAAATAGACTAAGGAAGGAACAATAATCAATTAGAAGATACTAATTGTTTCTATAATTTATCAGAAGTCCTACTAATGACCAAGTTAGCAACCCATATGCTTGTGTACACGGATGTTATATCGTGGAATTTCTGGTATGCTCTTTTACAATGCTGCTGTATTTGTTTTCTTGAATCACCATCAGGTAGAGCCTGCAGTTGGAGCAGCATTGGTAGCATGGAATTTTTGCATGAAAGAATCTCTTGAGAATGCCTTCAAAAGCTGACTCTGGCTGTTGTTGATTTTATAGTTTATGATTTGTATAGTGGGAAGGATCAATGATGAAGTGAAAGGAAAACAAGCTGCTCGAAATTGAAAATGAAATCATCATCAATATATAAATTCTTTTGGTTAAGAAATCATTCTGAAGTGTTGGTAGGCTAATTCTATGAATATACTACTTTGTCAATTTCTGATACTTTCTTAGCTTTGCATGTAAAAGTATCCCTATCAATAGTGAAGCAAAGAATGATTTCAAGTGTGCCAAAAGCGCCTTGTGTGCTTTCGTTGCCTGCTCCATTTTTCTAGCGTCCATGCCCTTCTGTTTTCCCCAACTGAAACCCACTGTAAAGTCCAAAACCTGTGTACACCATATTGCCTCAGCCTCATTTGGAACAAATTGAGCAATGTCAGAAGAACCATATTTTCTAATCTTTCATCTTAAAATTCCTTATTAAACTTTTTTGGGTGTAAAACTGACATGATTAGCATTTTATATACATTCTGATTGACAAAAATGACATACTTAGTGTTTCATACATGCTTTTTAAACTTAAAGCACAATATCGAGTTCATCTTTGGAACACCAATTCCGCTTTCTTTTGGAAGAAAGTTGCAACGCTCTTGGCATGCAGCAAAGGCCTAACCCAGCGAAGAGATAAGCAAGAGTTATACACATGGCAGGAACACCAATTCCGCTTTCTTTTGGAAGAAAGTTGTAATGTAACGCTCTTGGCATGCAGCAAAGGCCTAACCCAGCGAAGAGATAGGGACCATGCAAAGGCTGCTTAAGTTTCATAACGGCTTCTGCTACACCAATAATCCCCCTCATGATTTTGGATATATCTTCTAGTGGCAACTATAAATACCCTTCAAACCTTACCCATCAAAACCACAACTTAAACTTCCGTATATGAACAATTAAGCTCAACTTTAAGTCAATTAGCAAACATTGTAGCACTCCATCGATCTCAAACTCAAACGTACAAAAAACAGAAAAGAAAATGAAGGGTGTTGTTATAGCTTTAGTGATGGTGGTGGTGGCCATGTTGGTCTTGGTTAAACTGGGGCAGGCCACAGTCACTTGCCAACAAGTGGCGTCATCTGTCGCTCCCTGCGTTCCATATCTCACCAGTGGCACTGGTAGCCCACCCACGGCGTGTTGCAATGGGGTTTCGGGTCTGAAACAGCTCGCTTCAACCACCAAAGACAGGCGTGCAGCCTGCCAATGCCTCAAGGACGCCGCAGATCACTACCAAAACATCAAGGAAGACGTCGCAGCTGGTCTCCCCACTGCGTGTAAAGTCCAAATCAACGTTCCCATTTCTAGGAGTGTCAATTGCAACGAGTAAGTAATTTTTGTATGCACTCCATCGATATACAACTGCCGTATACAACTGCCGTATACAACATCTATGATCACCTTATTAGCATGTACGTTTAGTCATGTGATTAGCACGTGAGAGATGAAATGCGAGAACATTACTAATGTTCTTTTGTTTCTCTGTGCAGTGTGCAGTAAAAATCAAGGCAACTACAGATGGAAGTTAAAATAAAGAGAGAAGCATGGGGGATGCTGCTATCTTCTCAACGGCTACACCTAGCTTTTGGTTGAATGCGGTCAAGATATGGTTCTCACTAGAGAGCCATGCTATACTTAGTTTATTCAAGCTACCTGTTATGTATGAGATAATTTTGTCTTTTAATAAAATAAGAAATTTTAAATATTTGTTGCAGATCTCTCTCTCACAAATGGTGAAAAATTGAGTTGCAACAGGATAATACTATTTGGTTATATCTAGCCAATAATACTATGTTACGTAGAAATATTATCACGCACGTCATATCATTATTGATTAGAATAACAAAATAATGCTACTGAAAGTCTTTCTCCACAAATCCACACAAGAATGAGCTCAAGCAGGACTTAAACTTCACAATTTTGAAGCAATATGAACCAAAACCTTCTGCATATAATTTACAAGAAAAATACAAAAGTCTTTTAACATTAATTTGTGGCAGCTAGGATTGAAGTGACAATTGAGGTTGTAAGTGGTTTATAGATGACACATGGATCTATAACCAGAAACCATAAGAACCTACTAATAATGAATGCAACAAACCATCCAAGGAAGTTGCCAAATGTGGGCATACATGGGGACGTTCTATTAAATTTAAAGACATTTCAACTCAAACCATGCACAGATTAACTCTCCCAAACTGACATTTAAGGAAGTTAGATCAAAAGCTTTATGGAGAAAACAATAAGAGAGTCCACTACAAATGTAATTGGACTTACTTCAATTTCAAAACTATTTAATTCATGTGGAGAAACCAATGATAACCAAATCATCTTTCCCTTTTATGAAATAAAAATGAAAAATTTCCAAAGCCAACATGAAAAAGATTGGCAATTTCCAAAAGAGGAATAAAGGGAAAATTGAATGGTAGGGGAGAAAAATAGAAGGAAAAAAAGGGCCTAGAGAGAGGGTAATGGCCAAGATTGCAAAAAGGGGAAAAAGGCTAGGGTAAAATAGGGAGAGAAGTTAGATTTTTGGTCCTTCTATTTCTACTTGCTTCTGACAGCCATCCCTATGAACATTACATTACCCCACCAGCAATAATTACCACTGTATTAATTGATCGTAGACCAAACAAGCCCTCAACGAAGACCAATAAAGCTTCTCTCAACCGAACTCTCTCTCTATCTTTCTCTCTCAAGTTTCACAAGCAGCAGACCAAGCTAAAGCTCAGCTCTTTTGGCAGTCAAATCGGTGCTTCTGAAAATGTCACTCTCAGCTCAGTAAGAGTTCTCTCATTCTCTGTTCAAGCTTACTTGCTCAGTTACTGCTCAATTTCTGAGATCTGGGTAGTCTAGGGTTTCTGTGGAGCTTGCAAGTGTTCATAAATTTCTGAGCTTGGAGGTGTCAGGTGGGGGTTTAGGGTTCTTATTAGGGTAAATGTGGTGGGTTTTGGTAGGGTGAAGAAGATCTGGGGCGTATGAGGGTGAGAGGTCTTGTCTTCTGTATTGGCACTGGTTTTGGATGATATTTTCCCAGAGGTGTAGTTGATATTTTCTGGTTTTTGCTTGGGGGGGTGGGGGGTGGGCTTACTTTCACTGCATTTGATGATTTAGAGGTGAAGGGGTTCAGAAATGGGTGCTAATATGTGCAAGGAATAAGGAGGGAACTGATTTGAATCTTTGTTTAAGTTGGGTTTGGTTTTACTGGGGCTAAAGGGGGTTTCAGTAGGTGGTGAAAGGAGGTTGCATTTCGGGCTTTCGAAGAAATGAGACTTTCATCTTCATCCTCGTCTTCGGGTTTTAATCACCAGCCTCAGGAAGGTATGCACTTTTTTGTGCTTTATTTGGCTCGTTCCATTTTTCTCGTCTGAAATTTAATACGTCCTTAAAAGCATTAGTTAATCGACTCTGAGGCATTATCTTGCATACATTTATGCTTTTTTTGTTTTGGATTTAGTCTAAACGATTGAGCCACGATTTAGGTGACCGTTATATGTGCATGTCTTAAATAAGCGGTCATTGAACAGACCTAGTGAATATTCATTTCACTGTGTGTCTTTCCGGAGTTATTTCATTGCAAAAATAGTCACATTCTTTGCATATGTTGCTTGTCTGTTCGAGAATTGAGTTTAAGGTGACTAAACACCCATCTTACTATTTTACAATTATCTCAACTGCCCATTCACTGCTTGATGGGGTTCTGGGTGGAAATTTGGTTTTATGATTTGAAGTGGTTGCACCTGTAAACGAATTAACAACATGCCATTATCACTAAAACTAGTCTTGCATTTCTATCTTCAATTAATTTAAGGGTTAGTATTTTGATGCTATGAATTTCATGTCACGCATACTCATGCAAGCATAGAAACTATGTGCAGGGGAGAAGAAATGTTTGAATTCTGAGCTTTGGCATGCTTGTGCGGGGCCCCTCGTGTCTTTGCCTCTTCTTGGAAGTCGTGTAGTCTACTTTCCACAGGGTCACAGTGAGCAGGTCAGCAACTGGATTGCTATCTCATTTATTGTTGAATTCAGATTTTTCCTTCTGAATGGTATCAGGAGGAAACATTTGGTTGGTTTGCAGTATGTAGAATAGGAACTTTGGTTGTTTTATTGATTCAAGGAAGTCTCTTGTTACGATTGTCTTATTTTTGTCTAATAAGTTTGAAATGTAGGCTGTGTTCATTATAGATGTATGTTCATTTACTCCTATAGAAAAAAAATAAAATAAAGGATGGGTTGAAGGTTTTCTTTTTTACTTCTTTGGTATTTACATAGTGTCTAGTTATAACTTTGCTCTTATTCATTTTGTACATATCATTACCTCAATTACTTTAATATAATCCAAAACTTATGAGTACAATTGTTGTGTGCTTAAATAGCTGAAGCTTCTAATATCTATATAACCACAACGTCCTCAACACTAATTTTTGAGAGGGTATTCAGTGATTGTTTTTAATTCTTGGTATTTCTTGTACAGGTTGCTGCATCAACCAATAAGGAAGTGGATGCCCATATTCCAAATTACCCCAACTTGCCTCCACAACTAATATGTCAGCTGCATAATGTGACCATGCATGTAAGTGTCAGCCGGCTTGCATCTTCTCTGTGCCATTTAACGGGATGCTCCTTAATGTTTTTTAAATTTTGTATCGTACAGGCAGATGTGGAGACTGATGAAGTATATGCTCAAATGACCCTACAACCATTAAGTCCGGTACTGTACTTTTCTGTTTTTGATATGTGACTTTGTGAGTCAGGTAATTTTCATCATGTATTAACATAAACTGTTTTGTAGCAAGAGCAAAAAGATGTATACCTACTGCCTGCGGAGTTGGGTGCTGCCAGCAAACAGCCAACCAACTATTTTTGTAAAACTTTGACTGCAAGTGATACTAGCACGCATGGAGGATTCTCTGTTCCCCGCCGTGCAGCTGAAAAAGTCTTTCCTCCTCTTGTAGGTTTCCTCTTGTTTGAGTAGCCTGAGCATCACATTTGATTTTCTGTGTTTTCGTCTCATGAAATTGGTTTCAATAATTTAATTTTTTATTGTACCTTCAGGATTACTCACAGCAGCCCCCAGCTCAGGAACTAATTGCAAGGGATCTTCATGATAATGAATGGAAATTCAGACATATATTTCGAGGTGAGTGAATTTGTTCAGAATTCTGTTTTATATTTGCTTTCATTACTCTTTATTATTCTTCAAGTCTGCACCTCTAGCTTAGTTGCAAAATTAAGACCACTGAGTGCATGTATACTAGACAGTTCGCACACTTGCTGTTCTAAATGTCAAAAGTGAAAGACTTGGAGAAATTGTATATTTAATGGCATGAGCAATATCTCATTAAAAATTAATAAATTTATTGTTTATTTGAACTTAAAAATCTGTAATTCCTAAACTTACCTGCTATAGTAATTGCCTAAAGACCCCAGTGAGGATGTGGCAAGCAAATAACGAAATAAAGTAGCCCTGTCTTTGAATCTGCCTATACATATAATAATCAAAAGGTAGAGCGGCCCAAGCAACCAGACAATGTAGCAACTTTTTTTATGTTATGGATTATGTAAATGTTGCCAGTTATTAAATTTGGCTGCCCTTGGGTCATATATTTTCTGGCAAGTTTGATTTCTGTTCTCCTGAGTAACTTAACCATTATTCTGGGGTTAGGATAGCAATAGCATGCACTCTCCTTTTGGAGTTTTTTTTGTTTCTTCTTCTGCTTCAGTGAGCTATTCAAAAAGTTGCAGCTGTCAAGAGAAAATAATTGAACTGTAGCAAGAAATTAGATTAAAGGGAATGGGTAACCAAGAATGTTACACCACATCGATGATCAACAACCATTCAACCCTCTCAGTCTCTCACAAATTAAGAAGAAATAGTTGTAGGTCTTATTGACCCAACAAATGTTTTTGAATTTTTTGTTTCTTCTGTAGTTGTTCTTGCCCTCATTGTGGTTGAAAGGCAAGAACTGCCTGTCATGGATCTTGATCACATTGGGCTTACGCATGAATGAGCCTTGTGGGACACTTGGTTTAGAGTTCAATGATTTTATAGACTCTTGTGTACTTTCTTTACCTAGGTTTTATTTTTTAATATACTGTCTGCAACATTCAATTCTGGTTTCTAATTTCTTTTGTCCATGCTATTGTGCAGGCCAGCCCAAGAGGCATCTTCTCACGACAGGATGGAGCGTGTTCGTTAGTGCCAAACGACTTGTTGCTGGTGATTCAGTCCTTTTTATTTGGTAATTTAAAACAGTTATTCTGTTCTTCACATGATTGAATATGTTTCTATTCTTTTTTCTTTTTTTGGGGAATGTGCTGGGGGGAAGGGGTTGGTTGGAGTTATTAGGGCAAGAATTGTGGTAATTATTAATTTTTCTTCAAATATGTTGTCTTCAATCAGGAATGAAAAGAATCAGTTACTCTTGGGTATTCGGCGAGCAAATCGTCCACAGACTGTTATGCCCTCATCAGTTTTGTCAAGTGATAGCATGCACATTGGTCTTCTTGCTGCTGCAGCTCATGCAGCTGCAACAAATAGTCGCTTTACAATATTTTATAATCCAAGGTGAGTATCTGCTACTTCTCTAGATTTTAGATCCTACTTGTTACATCTTATTAATCAATTTGCTTATAATGCAGGGCTAGTCCATCTGAGTTTGTG